AGAGGTTCTCGCGGAAATCTTCTTCCTTGCCCAAGCTCCAGTCCCGAATTCTTCCAAAACAAATCGACTTGCGACCATAAGCTCGCTCGATACACGCAAAGCACCATGGACTATCTCCCAGGTTTGCAGATTCCTCACCTGTTTGCAGAGGCTCACTTGTTAGATTAGGTTTGTAGAAGATGGCGCAGTATCGCGCTGAACTTCCCGAGCATTTGGAATCGCATCGTCCTCGTCCAGCGCAGTAAAGAGAAACCCCTTTCATCCATGCTACTTGGACTGCAGCTCCATCGTTGTGGGACACATCCACTGTCCGTCATTCTCGCGACACAATGTACAGAAAAGCGAGAAACCTTCAACTCGCTCATTCAATTTCTGCTATCGTCTTCTTCAAGATGGCAGAGCCTCAGAATACATATGCCACTGAGCATTATCGACTGGGCCCTTGGTGATCTCTGTCTTCCATCATTGTCGACCCTTTGTATCACAACCGACATCCAACATCCTTCAGCTTCTCCATTTACCAACTTTCTTCATGCACCAAACCTTCGCTCGGTAATCTCCTTCCCTAGCATCATTTCTCAATTTCAACTCCCTTGGTCTCAAATTACCCATTTTGCATTCCCTCGATTCGCGACCAACGACCTTCGCTTTGCTCCAGGCGACACCAATGCGGTCCATGTTGCTCTTTTGCAGCGATTGACTGGATTGCAGCATTGTGAACTTCAATGTCGATCTCAAGCTGACGTGACGCTGAGATCTTCGCCTGCCAGACTGCCTAATCTGAAAGCTCTTTATCTAGAAAGACACATCGAATCCGGTGGTGCAGGCGAAATACTGTCCAATCTGACATTACCAGCTTTGGAAACGCTGAAGATTGTAGGGAAGATCAAGGCGGAACCTCTATCATTACTATTGGAGCGATCAGGAGCTTCATTACTGCATCTCAATCTCAGGTCCAAGACGACACTGAACCGAGGGTGTCTGAATGTCATTCGGGTCACTCGAGGGCTGCAGACCTTATCGGTAGACATGCCGCAGCTCGTGCCAGAAGATTTCCTGGAAAAGTTCCTTCCTAGTGACAGTGATGCGCCAGTTTTACTTCCTTTGCTGCATTCGCTCAAGGTGATAATTGGGACGGAGCGAAAGATACCAACGGAGATGATTGAGAAGTTGAAACAGGTTCGTCCTGAACTCGAGATAGAGATTCAGGCTGAGCGTGAGCCGCGGTAGTTGGAAGAAACAGATTGTTGCAAGACTGTTGGTAGCTTTCCTTTGATTTGGAATTGATGCCATTGTATATATCAAAGGCGCGACGCAGTCATGTGATAATGCTTCAACTTCTTGACTGTCAATTCGCTGCGCTTTCCCAGTCCAGATACGTTATTCATAGGAAGGAAGGAAGGAAAGCTCATGTGGTCCTTTAAATCCCACACTGCCACATTTAAGGTCTTCCTATGATGATCAGGCAGTTTTCGAGAAAACCCGCTGATTCTTTAGCAAGCTGTTTCTCGTCCCAGTTCGATGACGCCCATCGTTTTCCTCCGGCTAATCTCGTTCCTTCTCTTTTGCTCTCGGGCCTTGACGAGGCTCGTCAATGTCACCGTGGATGATGCCGACTCTTCGCAAAGTGCTTCTTGGGTCTATTCACCGTCAGGAGCTTGGAACAGCGCTGGTCTCAGCTGTGTAAACTGCACCGCCCGGCCAGACGTCTCGAAGATGTATTCTGGGACATGGCATGACTCGACCTTCAATTCGCAGCCAGGCAGCAACAATTTTCCCAATCAAGTACTGTTTGCCAGTCTGACCTTCAATGGTACGCCTTAGGCCTTCTATTTCATTCAAACTGACGCCAGTACAGGCACTGCGGTCTACGTATATGTGGCTTTGGCGAACACGCTTTCTTCCCCGACTGGGAATTCTGATATGAGCTTCTTAGTCGACGGAGTGCTCTTGGGAACTTTTGTTCGACCAGCTCCCGGTGAACCAGGCTATCTCTACAACGTACCCGTCTTTTCTGTTGCAGGTCTATCATCTGGAGTACACACTCTGACTATAGAGAATGGGCATGTTGATGGTCTCAAGTCCCTTATTCTGCTCGACTATGTGGTTTACACGTGAGTTTTGTTCAATTCTCTTAATTGTCGAACTGAATTCATTACCAACAGACACGACGACGGCACATCAGCTTCACCATCTATATCACCATTGTTCTCTGCTAGCACTCAAAGCAGTGTTCCAGGCCCAACACCTATATCCTCTGGCAACAGAACGGTATCACAATCGGGCTCCATTTATGGTTGGACTTTTGGAGGTATATTCATTGCACTGATGGTCGTCGGGCTCATTGCTGCCCTCTTTCGCTACTATCGAAGATATCGGCGAATAAATCGAGCACGATCGTCATCAGCTCTTGATTCTTCTCCGAGCTCGGCTCCACCCCCAGTCTCCCAAGTTGATAATTTTTCGCCGAATTCGATGGTACAGGCTTCGACCGAATGGTCCCCAGTCAGTCTGTATACCGCAGACGGGAGAGATGGACCGGTCGCCGGGCCTTCAACCTCATCGACATCACACATGGACACATTTATCCCTGCTTTCCAATCTCCCGCTGCTGGAGCGACTCTACTAGAGCGAGCCCCACATTCTCTATCAACCGTCACCGAAGAAAGCTCACCACCGTCATATTCAACCAATGGATCCCGCGCTGGCAGGAGGAAAGAGGTAGAAGGCTCCGATAAGGCTGAATTATCGAAATACTACAGGAATACGGCTCAGCCAGATTAAGATACATATTCCTAGTGGGATCTGGGCCCGGTATGTGATCACAGCCTCGGTTGACATTTTGACCAATATATTTCAGGCTGTCTTCGAGCTGCAATCGTGCTCGGTTTTCAAGGAGTCTGAGCGAACGCTGTCTAGTGACATTATCGAGAAACTGCTGTTTCGTATACACTAGGATGGGCCTCGGAATAAGGCCTTGACGAATTGAAACCATTCTGCTCATCAGACAGCAGTGATTTTTTGATGGTTGTACTGACCAACAGGCTTCATAAATGGTGAGCTGCTTTGGATTCTCTCAGCACCCATGTTTCCTCGTCTTGGTTTCCTGTTCAAACTGCTTTCGGTTATAGTGAAGCTGCAGCTCAAAGATTAGATTTGGATTCTTCTATATCTCTGTCGGCGCCAGACTCAATGTGTCACTGTCAGGGTCATCCACTGGCAATACGCCCAACAATCGCCTGTCGATTCCCCCATCACTAGAGCTTCGACGCCTTCCGTCGGTCTGGAGGAAGACTTGCATGAGCGCGACACCGGTGCGGCGGTTCTCTGCTCATTGGTCGTGTAACGGTTTGCGGGTGAAGATGTCGTTCATCAAGACTGAAAGGCTTTCTATTTCAATGGACCAAGCTTTTCCCTGGCGTCAGAGCCTCTAGCATCATCGGATCAGTTTTCAATACAAACCTGGAACCAACCCCACCGCATTCAAAAAAAAAGCGCCGAATCTCTTGACACGGATGTGTAATCACGGAATCTGTTGCCAATGGGCGGCGATTATTATATTTATATATATAAAGCTGAATGGCTGACGATCTATCGAAGCCTAGTTTCAGGTCCCCTCTTCCCTTCATTTCCTTCCTCAGGCCACGGTCCTGCATGCGATTTCTACGCTGCATTCAACTCCAGGTTGTGTTGTCGCTCTTTTTCTGTCCTTGCAGTTTTGCCACAGCGGTCAATGTGACTGTTGACGACTCGGATTCAAATGCAATGGGAGCAACCCTGGTGTATTCTCCCAGTGACGCTTGGCATACCAACGAATGTGATACCTGTATCACTTCCAGTGGTAGACCAGACATATCCCAGATGTATGAAGGAACTTGGCACGCGTCGTGAGTGACTTTAATTGGCAGATGGACATCTTTCCAACAGGCACCCCAAATAGCATGTTCAATTCTCAGGGAAGCATTGGCAATTCTTTTCCAAACCAGACTCTTTTTGCAAGCCTGATATTCAACGGTATGTTCACCAATTTATGTACGGAAATGATAGTCAAGGCGTAAATCTAGGCACGGCACTCTATGTATATGCTGCCTTGGCCAATAGCCTTTCCGACATGACCTTCCTGATTGATGGTATACCCGCCGGAACCTTCAATCGTCCAGGAAACTTGGGATTTCAATACAACATGCTAGTCTTCGCGAATGAATCGCTTTCACCACAAGTCCATACGCTCAGCATCCAGAATGGTCACAGCGGGGGTGAACCGTCTCTCCTCCTACTTGACCGTATCGTCTATACGTGAGAGCTATCCAGTTGCTTCTATGTATTCCATTCTGACGTGTTCATCAGATCTAGTTCAAATACAACTACTGGCGATAGTAGTAGTGCCTCCGGGATACCAGAAGGATCTTCAAGATCCACCTTGCCCATCGGTGCTATCGCCGGAATCGTGGTGGCTGTTGTCGCTGTAACAGCGCTCATTGTCTCAATGGGTTTCCTATGTTACTTGAGACGCCGACGGCCATTTAAAAACCAAGTATCACTGATACATCAGTCTTCCTCGACAACCTATTTAAAACCTGAAAACCAGGTTTCTCCGTTCGACGTCAATGTCTATACAGAGGGTCCAAAGAGACCAGGGCCTACTCTTCCTCCTTTGAATGTTCCGATGAATTACATGGCCGCATATTTATCGACACTGACGACAGCACGTCCGGTCTCGACGGTCAGTGGAAGTGAAGCGCCCAATGATGCAGTGCTTTCAAATAGTAACAGTGTGCTTGGAAGCACAAATGGTACTCACGAGAAGCGGGGATGGTCTTGACGACGCGAGCGGTACAGGAATTCAATGGAAAACTACGTATAGTCTATGTATCGCTCAAATAATATGTATTATTATTATCTCGGCTATCGTCGTATTGATTCAACCGAGTATGTTTCAAGTTTATTGGCAGAAACTAATCTCAGCCGGTCAACATTGGTCTAGTGTTGCTACTCTGCATGTCGGTATCGATTAGGGGTTAAATCACCTCGTTGTGGTTGGGTGGCTCAGACATCAAGCAACTACCGAGGAGCCATAGGTTCGATTCCTGTTACCGACACTCTTTTTGCCGCTTTATTTTGCATGAGATCCAGGATCTCAACTTGCCCCCCATTACCTATCGACTTGGAGTTTCTTCCTTGAGAGTTTTTTCCTTAATAGTAGCCTTCGTCGGGCTGCAACGAGAAAGTCAAAACAAAAATAAGGTATTTTATTCGTCAAATTGGTCCAAACGTATTCCAGCTCGAGGTACTTGGCCGATGGCCTACATAAGAAATAACAGTTGCCACTATCAGCACCAGCAGAATCTGCGAAACATGTCAGTTTCACTCCTAAAGTGGAAAGCCAGGACCTGCCTTTCGTTGAAACACCACTCGACATCCTCTGGGGATTCCTTTCCGTACCATTTGAACGATGGCAAATGTTCTTCTCGTTCAAGCTCTTTGCCACCGAACTTCGCTGCTAATACTCCCAAATCCTTTGGCAGATTCCAGACCTCTATCTGTTCCATGCCATGTCGTACAGCTATCTCGCCCATTTTTCCTAGCATCTCTTCAAATTGTCCTGGACTGGCTTCAAGTCGAGTTACAAGCAGAGTAGGCGGATTTGGAGGACTAATATCAAAAGTCCAGCCAGCGTATGCCACAGGTTCTCCAGCCGAAATGACCCCCCAAGTCTCTATCTTTGGCTTAATGTCCCGTATCTGGTGAAGGACTCGCATTCTTTGGAAAGTATCGACTCCGCCATGAGGTAGATAGGTAAACGAGACCTGAGACCCGGATTCCTTCATCTTTGCGACCATTCTGGGACTTTCCTTGAGCCACAGCTCATCAAACTGATCGATGGACAGCCAGTTCCAAGCTCCCTTTACCGAATTGGAGGCAGGAAGATCGGAAACAGACCATATAGTCGAAAATGGAGCTCGGACCACCCAGCCATCTCGCTTTGCAGCAGAACTCATGCCAGACATAGTGTAAATCTTTGGACCGACGTCGCTCCAGAGAGCTGAGACTAGTGCATCGCCACAGTTTTCTACTCTTTGTGGAGGAGCACCCCATTCCTCTGGAAATGTTGGAAGGAAGTCTTGACGAGCCAAGACCCAATGTAACAGTTGCATCATGTGTCTGGCGTAGCCTTTTCCTCGATTCTGGGATGGAGTGAAAACTGATGCGATCCCATAACAGGTCATGTCTTCGGCCACGGTCCCGCGAACCACTGTTCCAGTCCGTCGAAATCTAAATTCAATAAGATCGATCAGAATCGGCTAGAGAAGCTCACGTTTCGCATGAAGACATGAAATCTAATGTTGTCGGGTGATCTCGAGGCGTCAAAACCCTGACAAGACAGTCAACGGATGAATCTATGGATGAATTAGATCTCACCAAGTGATAAAGTTGCCATTCTGGGAGACTTGATGTTCGTCAATCTGTTGATTCAGCTGCAGATATTCTTCTACCGTCGCTCCTCTGGCCCATTGCACACAAGTTCGACGTCGAGATTCGATAACCTGATCTGGACTGGCCCGGTAGAGCGACAAGGATGCCAAAGATATCATCATGGGAGAAGAACAAGAGAGATTGAATCTCCGATGAATAATTGAATAATTTCACTTTGCAAGTTCGGTCAGCTTCGTTGGTACTTGAACCTTCCTTGATTTATTATAACCCAGTAAAAAAACAACCAGCTGCAAAAGCTGGGTAAGTACATACCGATACAGTACATAGGCCAACAGCCCAAATTTTATCAAGTAACAGACTCTTCCTTCCAAGGAATATGAACCACCCCAAGCTGATATGATGAATGTCGGGTACCAGAGTGGTGCTGCTGTACGGGCATAGCGATCAGGACCGCAATTTGTAGATTTGGCGGAAGAGACGATGCCTGGGATGGCAGAGCTCGGGGCTTGAGCGGGGCTCGTGGCAATGAGAGACCATGGAGAGCCTGTGGGTTGCGAGACGTCCATGGGGCGACAACATCTGGGACTGCGACAAGGTTCTTCGCAGTGCGATTTAATTGTAGTGCAAGAGGCTGGAATGATCACTTTTAATGGTATTGACAAGGTTAAAGTAACCAAGAAGACTTGCCATAATGTTGTCCCAGAGTCCATCCGAGGGGCAAGGGTCAAGCTCAGGCTCCCACAATTTGGGCTCTTCCTTGGGATTGGACAACAAGGCATCTGCTCCGGGCCAACCCTCGATGAAGCTACGCTCACGAAGGCGTCTTCTCGATCCCAGTCCGCAGCTCAGGAATATGAGAAGCAGGCCCACAAATGTGATCAGGAAGCCATAGAAGTAGCTAGCCCCTCGTCCTGAGAATTGTCCATTATTGTTCCCAGTGGACATACGTTAACACTGCTCTCCAGAACCAACAGCTCCTTGGGACACCGAACGAACCAATGTGTGAGCCGGTGGAAGCAGGCGTTAAGGTGACAGACAGACTGAGCGCTGGATAAAATAGAATGCACGTGCCGTCACCAATTCAACCTCCGCATTCACGACCAAAAATGCTCGGGAAACTCGTCCATATCGCCTTTGATGCTGTTCTTCTCAGCATCTGCCTCGCTGGAATGAAGAGAATAACTGGATTGACGTTCGTTTGCCTGCTCATTTCTCGCCATTAATATTGACCGACAACTGTACATAGTCCAGCTTTGTCGCAAGTTCCCAACAAAGATATTCGACGTGAGTTCCAAATCCTGCTACATTTCCATAGCTAAACCTTTTTCAGAGCTCTTGCGCTCATATCTGGGTTTTGGTGAGCAACTTGCGCCCGGCACGAGACTGTAATTGACGGGTTGTAGGAGAATACATGTTGGATTTTGCTATAGTCATCTGCGGGGTACGTCCAGGCTTCGTTCCGTTATATCCTTTCTCATACCAATTCCAGCGGTCTTCGTCCTTTGAGAGAAGACAGTGAGCAGAGAGGCGGCTATTGTTCCATGTGCGTGGTTTCTCTCTGCCTCGATTTCTGGCCTTTAATTCTTTATCAGGATTCCCATTGTACCATTTCACATCTTTATTAATCATACACACATGGACGGACATGAATGCTCAGGTTTCCGGTGTCCCATTCATGGCGGCTATCTTCCCATTGCACATCCTTCAGACCTTGAGGCGAGATGATATTCACAGCCGCAATTGTTCACCAAATGCAAGGACGTTTCAGGAGAATAAAGCGCTCCATCACCTGCGATTGTCCTTCCAAGCCTCCAATTGTCCTTCTCCCGATGCAGCAATTCATAGCATCTACTTATAGAACAAACTTCGTAGGTTTCCCTCCGGCCTGGGCTTTCGGACTGATGCAGGGAGTCGACTTTATTTGCGCAATACAGTCAACTTTTCTCATATTTCCAGTCCTGCTTCAGTACCTTTATAACCCACATGTGGCATAGATGTGATGAAGTGCTGACTGCCGAGCTGTTTCAGCGTTCACAGCTCCTTGCTTCATTAGATTCCGTATCGACCCTTGAACATATAGATTTTGCATAGACCAAATATTTACCGGTTTCACTCTTCCTCTATATGTTCCGACATGGCCAGTTTGAAGGTATAGCTGTGCCTGAGCGATTCCTCCAAGCTGTGGCGCATTTCCGGTCCGTCTGACACATCAAGATACTCGATGTCTTGCTCGTCCACTTCTCCGTTTTCCACATTATTAACCTGCTGCCTCACTCTGACGACAACAAGATCCCCGCTGCCGAATGTATGCAGGTCTGCTGGTGGATTCTGTGGATCGTATCCAAGGATCCTCATCCAAGCCTTGTTGATAGGTAGAAGCTTTGTCGAGCGGCCTACATTTCGGTAGACAATGTAGTCTTCGCCGTCCACCGACACTTTATACGTTCGAACCTGGTAGCCAAGATCTCCGTACAGTGACCAAAGTTCCACAGCAATGTTGTAGAAAGAGCGTGAGTATCTTGCTCCTTCTTCACTGAATGACATGCTGGTAACATGGGGTTCATCACCATTTGCTGGGACGACGAAAACCTTTCGGACAATAGATTCGTGGACCATGGTAAGAAGAAGCAAGGCTCGGGACCAGATCAACAGCTGATTATTGATACATGTATGCAAAATGACATTTCATGTTAGGTAGTTCCGTTTTCTTCATCTACAACGACTCTAGCGGCCTTGATTGGGTCGGCCGATACGGTATCTGGCAGTGGGTGCTCTCCAATCGGGAGGAGGGAAAGGAAAACCAAGGAGGCAAGGGCCTGAACCAAGGTAAGCGACAATGCAAAAGTTGAACAAGAATCCACTTGCGATTTGACAATAGAAGACAGTTCTGAGAGCAAGCGCCCAACTCGCCATAGCCTTTTCTTGAAGGTCCGGTGATAAGGTGCGTATAAAGGCGGTCGAATCCAATATCTTTTCAATGAGCTTGGTTCAAGTCAGCGACAAGGTCCTGAAGCAATGAGAATAGGATACCTCTTCAGAACCTTTACCGACGATTCGTTTTCGCAGATCTTTCGCTAGGATGGTCTGGCTCAAGGAAGACGATAAAGCTACCCCAAAAATTTGACCAGTGGTTCGGAATAGATAAGAGACTAAAGACCATAAGTTGAGTGCAAAGAATAAGGAAAGCACTCGACGTACGACCAGTAGCAACAGGGATCTGCTCTCTCGGGACACTAGCGAATAGCGCGAGAAGCGTTGTAGTGAGTGTTGCTGCGAATCCGAAGCCCTAAATCCGGTAAGTCAAGTCCATCATGAGCTACTGAGAACAACCAACACTAGGTATCAGAGTGATATATAATATCCATTCAGGTGTATCGTTATTCCTGTGCCGTCTTTTAGTGCCTCTCAAGTGTCCAGCAAAGAGACTTGCCATGTTGCCAATCGCACATTGGATACCAAAATACCAAAACCGGCAATAGCCTGAAAGTTCCAGTACTTTCCAGTCTTCCTCATGTACCAGCCTGCAGAAAGTGATCCTACAGCAACTGCTACAGAGTTGGGAATGAGATGGGCACCGGCATCGCTGGCGGATCTCAAACGAGCCGCTGTGAAATATAGCGGGACATTATATATCTGATGAATGATAAGAGCGACGCAAAACATG